AAGTCCCAGCTTCCGTGCATATCCCAGAAGGAAGCACATTCCTGGCACTATGGATGCCTTCCTTACCCACCCGCTGCACCCTCTGGCTGGGCTCCCAGCCGTGTCCAGGCTGCTTCCATTTCCTCCCCTCTCTGTGATCTACTAAATATTTAAAGGTATTACAAAACCAGAGAGAAGGCAGAAACAGCTACAGAAATTGAGGGCTTCAGAAAATGTTTGATGGTGACAAATCTGAAGAGCTCAGCCTCAGCAGCCTGTCAGATGGATGGCAGATGAGTCAACTTCAACATATAGGCACTATAACAACGGGAAGATATTGGGGAATAAGCTGGTCAGCAACTGAAAACAAGGCCTTTTATCAAGAGACAGCCTGACCTCAGCTATATGTGCCAGCTCTGGCTACAGTTTAATAACACAGTGCTTTGCTGAAGCAGAATTAGGATTTCTTGGGTTGGTTTTACTTTTTTTTTTTTTTTTTGCCTTTCCAAACTGTGCAGCAAAACTCAAAACTTCTGAAAAACAGGAAATGAAGAATTAAGATACACGCCCAGCCTTAACTCTGCCTCCACGGAGCTGGCAAGAGCCCCCAGGAATGATGTGCAGGCTTGCCAGATGCAATCTCGCGTGAGAGGAACAGCTCCACAGGCTGATGGGATTGGTGTGAGCAGCCTGGCAGAGCCAGGGCTGTGTTATGGGGGTTTCAGTGCTGAAAAGCCCAGTGCCACACACTGCAGCATCGCACATGACACATGCAGTGAGTGTGTGCTTTCACAGCCAAGGGCAAAGGCTGTAACATACAGCGAAGGAAGCTCCAAGTGTTGAAGAGTCTGTGTCCTTCCTATGGAGGGGCATCCAGGTGCAAGGCAGACACAGGCTGCCTGTGCTAGTGTCACACACACACAGTACACCGTCACTGGGAAGGACAGAGTACCACCAGCTTAGCTGGGGGCTGAACAGCCTCTGCATGCAAAGCCAGTACACAAGGAAATCCCCTCAATCCATCCCAGCCACCTGGAGGTGGGACTGTAGGCACTGATCTGCTCTCCCAGAAGACTGACCAGCCTGAGATGCACCAGGAAAAGGGGCTTACCCCTGCTCCCAGGGAATGGATGCTCCAGCCCCACACTGGCAGCAGTGGTAACACAGGAGAATGCAGGTGAGCCTCATTCCAGTCAGGCCCCTTCAAGCCTAGAAAGGCAGGAGAGCCCAGCTTCAAAACCAGCCCGTGGCTCCTTGATCTCACCTGCAGCTCTGCTCTCACCTCCCCAAGAGCTCAGTGTTCCAGCGGAGTCCCCTCCACCACAGGCACTGCCTCCCTGCTCCCTTTGCTCTGTGAATTGAGATGTCTCCATCAACCATCCCCAGCAGACCCCTAGGACAACCTGAGGCAGCTCTCCACATGCAGCCTGCAGTGCCCAACTGTGTGCTGTAACTGGAATGCACAGGAGGTCCCACATGAACTGAGAGGCTGGGTCACGCAGCCACTGACCAAGAGACAAAAGCACGTACTCGTATTTTCACAGCTGCCTGCTCAGGTATAAGCAGTTGCCTGGAACAATGAAAGTGAGTGGCTGCAAACTCCTTGTGAAAAGGATGAAGATTTCTCTAAAAAGCAAAAGGGAAAGCAGGAGGAGAATTTAAAGACGACCTACTGGAAAGATACTTCTGGAGGCTTTGGAGACATGGGGAGCTTTGAGCAGAAGGAAAATGCTCACATTTACAGCAGAAAAAACAGAAGCAGCAGCAGACTGATCTCCAGGACAGCCACAACCTGAAGAGGAAGCACAGACTCTACCGAGCCTACATCCCAAGAACACTCTGGTGTGGCTGAAGAAGTAAAGGTGGGGAAATATGTGTGGGTGTAAACGTTCCCTTAGCTGCAGCCAAGTATTTCAAAACTTTTCATACCTTACAGCTACACAACGGACCCAAGGCAAAGGCCACGGGCAGGACTGAGAGACACGTTGCCGTATGCAGCACTCATATAGTGGAGAAAAGACTCTGGGTGATGCAGCATGCTGTTCCTCAGCACTCATGCTCCCACCAAAGCACCTTGGTTTAGGAAGCATCAGGGTCTGCCACTTGCAGCACTCAGGTCTGCAGAGCCAGCTTTGAGAGCAGGGGTTGCCAAGGGCAAGCTGTCTCAGGAGGGGAAGAGAAGGCACGACTCACAGGACTTTGACTCCCCGGGGTCCAGTCGCAAGTCACAGAAGAGAATCTTTGGTGGGGTGGACAGGATACACTGACCCCGCTCTCCTGGAAGAGAAGAAGAACCACATGAATGCTGCCCAGCCTCGGGCTGTGACCAGGCCAGTCAGACAGGGACACCTCAAGCCCCAGTCAGATCATGAGACATTCCAAAACAACTGGACAGACAACCCTCCAAGCTTTTGCTCCAAGCTAGTGCCACTTTGATCTCAGTACTAGCAAGCTCCTGCAGCGGCCATCACCAGGGAATTGCACAAGGAAAGCAACACAGACTGGCCACTCACTTCATGCATTCTGATCTCAAGACACATGTTACAGTCCATTTGATTCCTGCTTGCTGTGCTCTCAACATCCCTACCCAGGGCTACAGGAGTGGCACTCACCTCTGTTGGGGACAAAGACTGTCTCATTCTCTGCCTGCACGTCGTGCTTGCTGCCATCAGAGGGAGGGAGTGCTACCCGGTTCTCGCTGGTGTGAAACTGGCAGTGGATCTGGGCACTGGCCCATGCCAGCATCTCACTGCAACAAAGAAGAGCAACAGTCATGTCTGTGCTTCAAACCTGGGCTACTGCAAGCATGAACTGGGAGAAGAGCAGCTCTTGCTGCTCAGCTCCATGTGGGACTGCTTGTCTGGGAGAAAGGACTTGCTTCATGGTCACTGAAACCACTCACGCAGCCCTCCTCCAAACAAGCCTTTGGAGCAAGCTCGAGCTGGGGTGCTGACACAAAGCCACTTCCACTCCATTTGCTGACAGTAGTTTCACCCAAAGCCTGGCTCTGGGCACAAGGGCTCTAGTTTAGCTGCAATATTTGCAGCCTAAGCCACAACACCTCGGGCACAGCACAGACATGGAGCGAGGAAACATTCCTGCCCTGAGAAGCCCACTGCACACATGTGGCAGAAGACAGCCAGCAGTGCAGGTGGGCAGCCACCCCTCCCATGGGGACAGAGATAAGATGGCCTGTGCAGAAGCTCACAGCGATCCTCTGGCAAGCACACTGAGGTCAAGCATCCCAAGATCCGGTCCCAAGCCTTACTCACTGAGTCGTTTTTCTCATCATCCACAGCTTGGGACTGGCCACAGGCTGCACTCTTGAGAGGACACCTCTAGTTCTAGTCACACATGGGCTAGGCCTGGCAGAGGACTTTTAGTCACAAAAAGCTAAATCCCAAGCCAGAAGTAACACAGGGAGCAGCACTGCGAGGCGCTCCGGTCATAACACAACCATCAGGGAAGTGGGCAAATTCAAAGGCAACAAGTACCTGCAACCTGGGGTCAGCTGCCCCTGCCCACAGCAGCCGGCTGCCCCAAACTCGACACTCTTATAGTGGTAGTAAAGGTGTCATTCTGCCCCTTCTCTATACAGCCAAAAGAACTGGCATGAAAACGAGCCTCATACGAGTTTTGGACTCTGCTATGACACCAGTCATTCCACAAGATTACTTCCCATGGCATTATTGACACCTTTCAGTTCCCAAAACACTCATGTATTTTATTTCAATAGCAGCAGAACTTTTATTTCAATCAGCCAGTGTATGGTTCCTCTGGTGTTTTCTAACACCATGATCTGATTAGTAAGCACTGACACCACTTCAATGTGGCACAGGGATTTTTTGTGGCACACGGGTATCTCTCAATGTGACACATCAGAGCAGTTAAACGTCCAGATGAACCAGAGAGAGAGGCGTGCTGCATTTGTTTCAGCTGACTAACAATGTGCTATTTGATCTTCTGTATGTGCTGTCTGCCTCTACACAAACACGTGTTGGTTACTCTATCCAGCTACCTCTAACCCCAGTAGACATTCTGTATCTTCAAAAGCACCAGCATAGCTTTTCCACAAGGGCTGCCATAATGTTGTAAGGTGTCTGGAAATGTATATGGTACCAGAGAAAAACTCCTTCTTAAGAGATAATATTTACTAATTTTATATAAAGGCCATGAATACATACATTTATATATTTTATATAAGGGCCATGAAGATGATGAGATGGCTGAAGCAGCTCTGCTCCAGAGACAGGTTAGGGGAGCTGGGACTGTTCAGCCTGGAGAAGAGAAGGCTCCTTAAGGGGAGACCTTGTAACAGTCTTCCAGTACCTAAAACGGGGCTACAGGAAATCTGGAGAGGGACTTTTTACAGGTCCTGTAGGGATAGGACAGAGGGGAATGGCTTTGAACTGACAGAGGGGAGACTGAGAAGTGATCTTAAGCTGAAGCTCTTTACTGTGAAGTGAGGTGAGGTGCTGGCACAGGGTGCCCAGAGAAGCAGTGGCTGCCCCATCCCTGGCAGTGTTCAAGGCCAGGTTGAACACAGGGGCAACATGGTCTAGTGGAAGGTGTCCCTGCCCATGGCAGGGGCTTGGAACTAGATAATCTTTAAGGTTCCCTCCAACCCAAACCATTCTGTGATTCTATAAGCTCAGCATGATTACAGTACCTTCAAATTCAAACACTGTATCTTTCTGTGCTGGTGCTGAGGTCACTTCCCTCCTCTCTTACCTCCCTCTGAGGCTCCTGCAGCCCACAAGGGCCACGCTCCTCACAGCCTTTGGGCAGAAGAGCTTTGTTTCTTGTACACCTCGTACACCACCACCGATTTAACTTCCTGACATTTACTGACTGTCCTTTAGTTCTGTCCTTACACTTGAAATGCGTGCTTCTCAGTTCCACCACCTCCCCCACAGCTTGTGACAGCCCCGAAAGTTCCTAGTCCCTGACAGGTCTATCTGCCTGTTGCAGTGACTGTGCTTTGATCTGTCTCCTGCCTTTACGCAACCCACAGCTTCAATTTCCAAACCACCAATCTATTTGGTGTTGTCACTCATATGACTTCGCCAGGTATGGTCAGTTTTGGTTGCCTGCTTCTTTATTTAAAAGACTTTCCTTTTCCAAGTGGCAGTTTTCTGCGGACCAGGACATACATGAAGTTCCCAAATGAAGCTCCTGTAACTGTGCTGTGACCCTCCAGAACTGCTCCACTTGTGGTCCCACACATGTCAGAACTGGTCAAAACAGCACTGCCACCATACAAGACAGAACTCTGGGAAGCTAGACATGCACCACAGCTGAATTTGACAGCTAGATTCAGCAGGCAAGGTGAACCAGGAAGAAAAAGATGAAAAGTTAAGGAAAGCAATAAACAAAGAAGCCCTACGGCAGTTATACAAGACACTGCTTTGGTGCTGCTGAGGCTGCACCACCAAAACAATTACGTGTAAAATGCGTGCTGCTGATGAAAAGATGCTGAACCTGACAGGTCTGGGAACGGATGCTTCCCAGGAAGGGCTCAAGATGAGAAAGCACTCTCCACCCCTGGGAGAACCAGACAAGGCCACACACTCAGCGGACATGGATGCTTTGGGTGACTACTTATGATGTGGAGTCACCCAGTGTGAGCTAATATAGGAAGCTCCCTTATTGTCATGTTTCCTCAACACCTCTTTCGGGCACAGCAATGATAAGGGAAGATGCAGCACTCAAATGCTGAGCCACAGAAAACGCTCTGGGCAGTGCTTGCCCCCTTTGCCTGCCAGCGCTGGAGGCAGGGATAGCACTGATGTGTCAGCACAATGCTGGATAGAGAGAGCACCTTCCATAAACATGACGTCTGGATGTTGCCCTGGGAGACTGTCACCCTGGTGTAACTAGATATCCCACTCTGACAGCCAGTTTGGCTTCATTTTCTGCTGGTAACCCTGTCACTGAGGGCCCACCTGAAGAGCAGTTAAAAGCACCTTTAACTGCATATCTTTTTTTCTTGTCTCTTTCTTGAGGGCAGAAAACCAGAATGATTATCTCAGTTTCAGCCCTGAAACAGCAATGGCACAAAGCACTCTTAAGGGAGTACCGCAGGCAGGGAAGTCACCAGTGGCTGAGCTGCCACCACTGCCCCACAGGGCAGCCATGACCACATCTGGCTGCTCGGGAAGGAAGGAATACCATTCCCTCTGGAAGCACCCAGAGAACTCTGCCACAGAGGCTTCATGCATGGAAGGGCTCACTGGCGCAGGCTGCTAGATGAGGCTGATAACGGGTTGGTGAAAGTGATCACACACTCCAGCACCTCCCCTGCCAGGAACACAGGCCCACGGCCCAGCTTGGCCAACACTTCAATCATGGCTTGGACAGCCCTGCTGCACACCTGCCAAGAAATAAAGGAACAGTAAGCATGGAGGCAAGGCTAGGTGGTGTAACAGAGGGGGATGGCAGGAGTCAGGCCAGGCATGTGCACACAAGCAGGGCACGGAGAGCCCCAGCTCTAAACACATACAGCATACAGACACGTACAGCACACAGGCATGCACAGGGGTCAGGGACAGCTCTGTCCTCGCACACAGTCATACATAAACACATACATACATACACACACACACTAATACATAGGTACACACACTCTCCTCACACACACACGGCGGGGGGGAGGGCACAGACAGCCCCAGCGCCCCACTCACACACGGGGCACAGGCACATGCACGTACCTACACACACCCCCGTCACCGCACACAGACTCAAGGGAGC